CCCATGGACTGTAGCCCACCAGGCTCCCCCCTGTCCTTGGAATTTTTCAGGAAAGGACACTAGAGTGGGTTGGCATTTCCTCCTCCAGGGGATCTTCCTGAACCAGGGATTGAACCCATGTCACTTGCATCTCCTGCATTGGCAGGTGGATTCTTTACCACTGTGCCAACTGGGAAGCTCTGATATAGAACACAGGCCCTTAACACCATCGATGACTCTATGGGCAGAGATATACCCACTCCCAGCCCCCAGCCTTGAAACCACTGCCAGTTCTATGCCACCTGAGGTTTGGACATCCTGTTAGAAACCCTGTCAGCTGTGGAATGGGTCTCTGTTCCTCTCACAACCTTGGGAATTTTATTGCCCTCCTTAAAGGCCATTCTAATTGTCCTGCTCCACAGTTCATCATCTTCTGAACTTAGGTGAATCCTACAAGCCAGGCTCATATATTTCTTCTGTCTCTTTGCATGAAGTTTAATGGGTAGGCAAGCTTTGAGCTTGTCCTTTTTTCCCAATGTCTGAAAAGTTGTGATAACAAAAATAATACTGGCTACAAGCTTCTGTGAAGTTAATTACTTTAAATGAACAAAGGAGACTGAGCACCTGAGAAGAAAATGGCTCAGAAATTGGAAAGAAAACATTATATTCTGCTACCGTCGGTTGGAATTCGGCCCTTTTATTTTTCTCCTGAGCAACATGAGAGCCGCTGAGCTCAGAGGACGTGAACATCCTAAACAGGAAATAGATGGTGTGTGGAGGAGGTGAGGGGGCGCCCCGCCGTCATTCTCTGAATCCTTCAGTGAATTGACTTGAATCCTGTTAGAGAAGCGAGTCAAGGGCTGGAAAACAGGCTCTGCTTGGACGACTTCCAGCACACTTCACAAAGCTCAGGAAAAGCTCAGCTAAGCCACACACATTTTATGCTTTCCTGAGGAAAGACTCTGCTTGTTGGTCTCAGGGTTAAGGAGTTTCAGCAAGTTTTTATAGAGATACTAAAACATTCTCTTCATATTTTCCTCTGTCACTAAAAGGAACCCAGGGGAAAGAATCAATGATGTGGGCACTTACGTGCCTGCTGGGCCAGTTAGCTTCCGCAAGAGGTGTAGGCGCAGTGGCTGCGTGTTGGCAAGCCCTTAGCTACCTGGCGTCTCTGGGTTTATCGTAGGTGTGTATGTGTATATGCGTGTGTGTAAAAATCTCCATTGAAACATGACGAAGCTAAACTCAGAAGCGTGGATGTGTGCATTTCAAGCTTCTTTTATTTTTTAAGCCTTTTATTGAGCTATAACACAGATACTGAAAAGTATATGCATTCAAGTGAACAGCTTAATGAATTTTTGCATATTATATACACCCATGTAAGACCACTCACATGAAGACATAAATAATTTAGAGTGCCTCAGAAGGTTCCCTCATACATAATAGGCACCACTTTTAGTTGTTTAAAGTTGTTTTTAGTTGTCTGAATCTCATTTCAAGATTTCTTACTTGAACTAGAAAATGCAGAACGAACTCCATCTTCATCCATCCCAGAAAATGACTTTCCCATCGGGACAAAACAAGCCCCATGTAAATTGTGAAATAGGGGGAGACAGGAAGCCATGAGGGATGATGTCACAGTGGTCTCAGGATTGTCAGGACCTGATGCTTTTTTTGTTGTACCCCAAAAATATTTTTCAGGAAAAACACAAGCATTTGCTGTGCCTTTCTCAGAGTGATTTGGAATGCTCGTTGAAGCAAAAAGGCCCTTTATGAACTGACTCCTTCAGCCTGTCTCTGCCCTGTCACACACCATTGTGTTTATTTCAGAACCTGAGATTTACACTGAGTGAATATTAACAGGGAACAAAGCCTGAAGTCATGGCAATTTGCATTTGCCAGGGGGGTTTACCTTTATCTGCTAAACTTAAATTGCTTCTTTTCTAGAAAAAAAAAAAGTACTTTTAGCTTTCTCATACTTCTTTATAGGAAGCTTACTGCTATCTTTAAGACATTCTACCTTGCTCACCTACTTGTCATTTTCTTATTCATCATTGTTTCCTTATATTGTCCTTTTCCTTAAATTTTAGTCATAAGAAGTATATATAATTAGAGTAAGCAAAGACACTGGAAAGTGGTTAGTGTCAAATACCTAAGAGCACTTCTAGATGTAGAATTTCAGTATGTTTATTTATTTTTCCAGGTCCTCAGTTTTATTCCAATAGGACTAGATCAGGTGATCTCTTTCTTTTTTAATCTTATTGCATTTCTGATTAGGAATCAAATGGTTAAATTAGAGTGAAGATAGGTTTAGAAGTGATGAAATTATGCTGATGAAGAAATCTGTGAAGATTCTCCTTTTAAAGATCTTTAAGAAAAGCCATGAGCTCTGTTTAATTTGAGCTAGTATCTTCCAAGGGGGGAAAAAAAATAAGTTAATTTTCCACTTTCTGATAGAAAGAGCTTATCACACTTTTGGCAAGGTTATTGATCACTTGACACAGAATAGGATGCAAGGTGCCCGGACAACATATACCTGCTATTTGGGAACTTTGCAAATGTGTAAAAGAGTATAAATCAGTTACAGAATGGAGTAAGTGACCACATAGTTTTACTTCAGGCTGATAAAGCAGCGCCATCTACTGCACACAGGCTTTATTTTACGTTGGAGAATTCTTCAGTAGAAATTCATTTTTGCAGACCTAAACACAAAGCAAAATTGGTTTTCAGTCTGTTCTCTTTTAAGATATACATCTGGGTCGATTTATTGAGATATTTGTTTTCCACATGTATTTGTCTGTTCATATTGAGAACAATAATCAAATAGCAGAGTGAAAGGTAAGACAATATAACTATGAAAACAATATGAATATCAAGTATTCCTTCTTGATATCTCTTGATGTGTCTTTTACTCTGAAAATAAGTCTGATGTACCTCCATCTGCCCTTTTATGTCTACTAATGACATAAAAATCAATAGTTACCTGATGCCTATTTCAACTGAACCACACTGTTCATATTTTATCCTAAGCTGCCCACAAATGAGTCCTTTATTAAATGATTACAGATTTAACAGGCCTTCATTGAATTCTCTTTTCTCTAGTGTTTTTTATTCCTGTCATAACACTTAATTCTACAATATTTTAAAATAATAACTCTTAATGTTCCTAATGTATTTTGTATTACAACTTCACATAAGCATTTACATAGAGTATTAACAAGAGCACTTCTTTTTATTAAGTTGGGACCATTAATTATCCTTTCAACCATTTTGGTTTATTTCATCTAATCTATTATAGAACATAAAACAAGTTAGTGACAGTAGATAGGGTGCGATAGTGATTATGATTCTTTTCATCACTACCTATAACTCTTTCAAGGTCTTAACTGGTTATTGACCATTCACATTACTCACTCTGTAAACTGAGAAGATTGTATCACTTCAGATCTTGATTCATAGTTAACTTTTCAGCATGCACTCATTTCTTTTCAATCGTATTTGTATTTGTCATACCACTGTCAATTTATATATTAATGAAATAGCACACAGTCTGGAATTTATAGTATTTGACATTTGTCAAGGTTTGATTTTCAAATAGACTGAAATAGAATATAACTTGTTTCTATATCACATGCCAAAGTCATAATTATATAACTGAAACATGTTAAATTTCTAGGCATACAGAAAGCACAGATGGTTTCAGTTTTGTATCCTGACTTGAAGAAAAGCTATTCAGATTCCAAATACTGTCAAAAACTTGATTTTCTCATTCATGCCTATATGTTAAAAGACTTTTGTTCTATTTATTCCAACTTTACTCATTTAATTAAAAATTGAATATTTGATGTGCTGCAATCTGGAGATCCAGTGATTAAAACAAATTTCTTGCCCTCAGTGAGTTTACTATCTTGCAGAAGAGTATAGGCAAGGAGCTGTGAACACAAAGAAAGCAAACCTGATCCAAATTTTAGTAAATGAGGAGGGGATTTAGGGGAGAAATCAAGAAGACTTCCTGGAAGAGAGAAACCCTGAATTGAGTCTGCAGAGAAGATAAAGTATTTGTCAGGAAGATCAGCACAGGAAGAATACTCCAGGATTGCAGATAGGATTTGCAGAGACACTGAGATGAGAGAGCAGAACAGATGTGGGGAAATGTGTCTGTTCAGCTCCCCTGGGACTCAAGGCTACAAATGAAAAAGTTCTGAGAGATAGGCTGGACACAGGCCGAGATCAGATAATGCAGGGTCTGTCATGCTTTGGGACTTCATTGTGAATGCTTTGGTGTCTTTAAAATAGTAAGGAAATGAAAGAGTGAGTGGTGGAATTCAAACTGATGAGAAAGATCCCTGTAGCAACTCTGTTGAGAAAAGATTGGAGAAGGATATGCCTGGAGGAAGAGGGGTCACTTATGGAGCAGGATAGGAAGTGGTCCGTGGGAAATGGGTAACTGATAATGGGAGAGGGCAAAAGGAAGATGAGTGTTTGATGGGTCTTTGAAGCTCCTAGGCTGTAGTTCACCAGGCTCCTCTGTCCATAGAATTCTCCAGGCAAGAATACTGGAGGCGGTAGCCATTCCCTTCTCTGGGGGAACTTCTTGACCCAGAGATAGGACCTGGGTCTCCTGCATTGCAGGCAGATTCTTTACTATCTGAGCCACAGGAAAGCCCTATTATGGTGGTAGAACTAATTTCATGACCCAATATATGTGAAGACTATAGAAGGAGTCCAGGAAAACATGTTTCCAGCAGGGGAAGCGTTTGGTGGCACCATCCACCAAGATCCAGGCAATGCACAGATTAGAGATGAGCAGAGAGGAGAGGAGTTCTTCTATAAATGAGATACATCCAAGTGGAAAGATCCAGTGGGTGGCTGGTTATAGACATCAGGAGTTCAGAGGAGAGGTTGGGCTCAGAAATCTCGTATCTTTGTAACTTCTAAGTAATGTGTAGAACATCACTGAAAGCAAGTAAATTAGTCTTCATCCACCGATCCCACTGCTCTTACGCCCCGCCCGCCCACAGAGGACTGGTATGAGCAGCTGTACCCCCTCATCCTCAGCCTGAAGGACGGCATGGGAGAAGTGGTGAACCGAGCTAAGCGGTCCCTGACGTTCGTGCTCCTCCAGGAGCTCGCCTACAGCCTGCCCCAGTGTTTGATGCTGACGTTGAGAAGAGACATCGTCTTCAGCCAAGCGGTAGGTGCCTCTTGTTTTTGTGAGCCCAGCACACTGATGGGCTGTCAAATAGCATCCTTAGTGAGGAAAGAGATCTTCTTATGATAGTCTGCTTTTAGTTTTATTTTTTTGGCCGTACCGCCTGGCCTGTGGAATCCTGGTTCCCTGACCAGGGATCGAACCCATGCCCCCTGCATTGGAAGCTTGGAGTCTTAATCACTGGACCACCAGGAAAGTCCAATAGTTTGCTCTTTAAGGGGATCCTTTTCTTAAGGTATTGATACCTGGCTTTTCTTATTCATAACAGATACCTAGCTGAATAGAAACAGTGTGTGAGACCTTAAATAATTATTTCTGCAAAAAGGTGGCCATGTCTCTGAAATGTCCTTTGTTTCATAGGGCACAGAGTCTTTGAGGGAAAGAGTCCCTTGTCCTGTCCTCATATTATTCCTGGGGTGTCTGCACCATGCACCATGCAGATAGCAGCCAGGACTGGCAAAAGGGATCTGTTTGCAACCCCTTATTTCTACAGCTCCCTCGTGAATTCTGGACAGGGCCTTATAATAGTCTGTTTGTTGTTGTTGTTGTTGTTTGTTTTTGTCATTTACATAGAAGTTTGCCAGGCCATTGTCTTGGATGGAAGGATGGCACTATCACCTCCTTTGCCGACACCCAACCCTAGCCCGTGGCACCCGTCACAATAGCCATGCTCCCACTCCCCTCCTGCCTGCTCCGCCGTGACTGAGTTTTATAGACACACCTGGAGGGAAAGAGATGGAAACTTGTCTTTGTAAACCATCCAGATAAAGGGAATAATTTAACCAAAATATCCCTTGTCCCCTACCATTTCATGGATGACCCAGTAGTAAATGGAGCAAAGTGTCAGGCACTTTGCTCTGCCTTTTACAGATCTCTCCACTACAACTCTGTGGAATGAGAACTATTATCTCTATTCTTTGTGTGCAAAAATATTTGAGAATGTTTTGGAAGTGTTAAGTGACTTTTTATGATTTTACTGCCTGGTCTTTCCCCTTTCACAGTGCTGCCTTTCTCAAACCGTCCGAGAGCCTGGGTTTATACATCCATGGTTTCAAAATGGATATATAATAGTTACAATTTTGTTACACATGCTTGGAAATTTCTAATTAAGTCTGTGATGTCTCAAAGTCTTAAATATTTTTAAATTAAAGCTCACTGACCCCAGGAATTTCTTCAGTGTTTTTTCTTTTTCTCTTGTTTTAGCTTACTGGATTGGTTTGTGGTTTTATCATCAAATTGCACACAAGTCTGTATGACCCTGGCTTCCTTGAGCAGCTTCACACAGTGGGATTGATAGTACAATATGAAGGACTGCTGAGTACATATAGTGAGTATTGCTTTAGTCCATGTTAAAATAATATCCCTATTCATAAAGCTATGTGATCCATAGATTCTTCAGTTAAACATAAAAATAAGAGGTCAACCTTTCTTGCATCAAGCATTAGAGAAAGAATATAACTTTCAATTCTTTATATTCATTCTCCTTGTCACTGTGCTTTTACCCTCATTATGTTTTGAAAATGGAATTATAGATTACTTCACAGTGGAGTCCTGGGCAGCCATCTGGCTTTTTAAATATAAAAAGCTTTTGCTAACCTAGTTTCAATGACTGGATTTTTAAAGTCCCAAGTCTCTAATGTCTGGAACTGCCCTGTTCAATACATAGGTTGGTGTGGCATTTGAGCCTTGAAACATATCTAGTCCAGATCAATAAATCCTCAACGTGCCCACCAGATTTCAAAGACTAGTAGAAAACAGTTTTATATTAATAATTCATGAATAATTAATCATTGTATATTGATTTACAGCTGCAATGCTGTTTGGGATATATTGGGCTAAAGGAAAACAGTATTAAAGCTAATTTCACCTTTAAAATTTTACTCTAAAAATCTGACTTCTAGGATATTTAAAATTATGTATGTGGCTCACAATATATTTCTTTTGCACAGGACAGATTCTTATTTAATTGCCTCCTCGTTAGGCTTTATTTTTTCAGTGTATTAAATATAAAACTAGCATGAGCTTAGGTCAGTGATCTTCAGTGCAACCATCTCTATTTTCTAGAAATCAAATGTCAGTCCTGCCAAGGGAGAAAGATTTGCACGATACTTTGTGTCATCAAAGAATTAAAGCTTCTCTCTAGCCTTCCAGCAAAGGTATACCTCCTTCCTTCCTTCAAAGGGCATATGGACAGCTGGAGTCTATTGAAACGGTTCTGATTTCACTGTTGAAAACCTTCAGACTGAGGCAAATGTCCTTAGAATGGATTCACTGCATTCAGGAACTCATTCACTAAATTGTTAGAACAAATTCTAGCAGGAAGGCGGAATACAAAGAGACATTCTCTTCAAATAGTATGTTTGTAACTAGGTTCCTTTGCCCTTGCTTAGGTGAGGAAATTGGAATGCTCGAGGACATGGCCGTTGGTATTTCGGATTTGAAAAAAGTCGCATTTAAAATAATCGAAGCCACATCCAATGATGTCTTGCCAGTTATAACAGGAAGGCGGTAAGTGGTGCCCATTTCCTAAAGACCAAGCTTTGTTAGATGTTTCTTACTAACCCCTGACAACAGAGCCAAGGAGAATTGAGATTTGGCTTGGAAATGTTTCTTTTGTTCTCTTTTCCTTCTTTGAATGAGAAATAAATATAGGTGACATGACAGAGGAAGATACTGAAAAACTCTTAGAAGTCTCATGGATGTTTGTAAATTGCACTACAGTGAAATAAATAGGATAATGCTCCCCCGTGAAATCTGAGGAATTCAAAGTAATAGCAAGCATGAGAAAAACATTTTTCTTTTTATTACTATCTAGTCTAAAGCTCTGGATGTTTTTATTTTTGCTGGAATCATTTAGTTAATAGTGTCATAATTCTTGAGATGACTTGGTATTAAATTCTGTTAAAAGCAGCAGCATTTTAGAAAAGATGTATTCCTATGTCAGGGGCATATGCCACCATTTTTCTTAATTATTTTTGACAATTCACTGTCAGACTGAGATTTCCAAGAACAGTTTTAAATAAATAGCTTTGAAGGTCATTGTATGATGGGCAAAATATCAAATAATTTAGAAAAATGATGGTGTGTAGAATAGACCTCCAATAGAAGAATTACATCCTATGGATAAATTATTTCAGTCAGAAGTCCTCGAAATTTTAACCATTCTGGCATTAGCACTTTTAAATGCTGCATGAAGATATTTGAAATTTGAAGCTTTCTCAGATCAGAGTTTAAAAAAAAATGAATTTTTTAAAGAGAGCCCTTTTTGTGCCAGAGAGAGATGAAGAGACTTAGGTATAAAATATAAAAATTCAAACTAAACTTGTTTTCTTTCTATAATAAACATATAATTATTTAAAATTTTGTGTAAAGAATGCCTAGAAATCCATGGTTGATTGAAAGGTAACTGTTTCTTATATATAAAGAAAAAACACATCCCTTTAAAACTAAATATCTCAACTGCAGCCTAATGCTTAATTTGCCATTCATTGGAAGAAAAAGGAATAAAATTGCTCATACACATGCCTAGAAAACAATGCCACCTTGTATTACTATGAAGATTATTATCAGAAGTGAGAAACTGATACTTTTATCACTTTTATAATGGAAGCTTACCAGATCATTTGCTATAGGAAGAGTGCAGATGTTTTTTTCTGAGAGAGTTTAAAGAACTGAGGGAGTTTAGACTGTATCTAAATTCAAAAGCTATCATATGGATGGGAATGAAACTGGAATGGCAAAGTGAGCAGCTTGGCAAAATTTTTCTCCAGAAAGCGACATTATAATTGGACAGAATTTTCTAAAGCAACCATCTTACAACTAAGGACTAAATTTGTGCACAAATTTAGAAGTACTTATTCGTGAAAAACTGGTGTACATTGGATAAGCCAGTAGGAGTATGTGGCGTTTTTGCCGAGTTGCTCCCATCTTCCTCAACTCTGTCAGCACAGTTTTATGAGGGTAAAGCAGGCCATAAAACCCCCAGTCTCCTGCCAGAGGGGGCTGACTTGGTTTGGACCAGAGAAGAAAAAGAATAAAGTGCACTCTTGGAAAGTTGTTAGAAACAGTGGTGACTAGATAACCATTCACGATAGCATCAAATAGAATAACTACATCAGACTAAATTTAATAAAGCACTCTAAGAAATGGCAACCCACTCCAGTATTCTTGCCTGGAAAAATCCAAGGACAGGGGAGCCTGGTGGGTTGTGGTCCGTGGGATTTCGGGGAGTCAGACAAGACTGAGCACACATACCACACCTGATAGCTTAGTTGGTAAAGAATCCGCCTGCAATGCAGGAGACCCCAGATTCCTGGGTCGGGAAGATCCCCTGGAGAAGGGGTAGGCTACCCACTCCAGTATTCTTGGGCTTCTCTTGTGGCTCAGCTGGTAAAGAATCTGCCTGCAATGCAGGAGACCTGGGTTTGATCTCTGGGTTGGGAAGATCCCCTGGAGAAGGGAAAGGCTACCCACTCCAGTATTCTAGCCTGGAGAATTGCATGGATTGTATAGTCCATGGGGTTGCAAAGTCAGACAAGACTGAGCAATTTTCATGAAGAATTGGAAACAGAACACACAAAATAATGCTTGGAGAAATTAATAAGATCCAATAAATGAAAAGACAGTCCATATTCACAGATCTGAAATCCTCATTCATGATTGGTGGTTTTGTCACTTTGGAAACAATTTGGCAGTTGCTTAAAGAGTGAACCTAAAATTGCTACATGACTCATCAGTATATACCCAAGAGGAAATGTCCACACAAAACTAGTAGCGTTTTTCAGAACACGGGTAGCCAAAATCATGAAGTAATGAAGTGTTAATCAACTTGAATGCACAGACAAAATGTGATATATCTAAACAACAGAACACTGTCCAGCATGCTGTGACACACGTGACCTGACAGTGATGCTGAATGAGGCAGGCCAGACCCAAAAGACTATACCTTGCATGATTCTCTTTATATAAAATATGTAGAGAAGTAAAATGCAGAGACATAGAAATAGATCAGTTGTTTGCTGGGGCCGACTATGGAGTTGGGGTTTGAATGCAAACAAAGGATTTTTTTTAAGGCAGTGGAAATGTTCTGAAAGTGAATTATGGTCATGATTGCACAACTCTATAAATTTGCTAAAACTCTGAATCATATACTTAAAACAATGAGCTTATGTCAATTATATTTTAATGGAGTGACAAAACATCGGCAGAACACTCCGACATAAATCGCAGCAATGTTTTTTTGGATCTGTCTCTGAGTGCAATGGAAGTAAAAGCAAAAATAAACAAATGGGACCTAATTAAACTCAAAAGTCTTTACTCAGCAAAGGAAACCATAAACAAAAACAAAAAGACTACCTATGGGATGGGAGAAAATGATGCAACTGACAGGGGATTAATTTCCAAAATATACAAACAGCTTATACAGCTCAATATAAAACACAAACAACCTGATCCAAAAAAATGTGCAATAGACCTAAACAGACATTTCTCCAAAGAAGACACATGGCCAACAGGCACAGGAAAAGATGTTCAACATTGCTAATTATTTTGTGGTTTAGTCGCTCAGTTGTGTCCAACTCTTTGTGACCCCATGGCCTGCAGCATGCCAGGCTTCCCTGTCCTTCACCATAATTGCTAATTA